TAATTCGGAAGTGTTCTTAGCTATGTTTGATGAAAATCGGTCCAAGATGGCCGCCGCCACAAAATAGCGGATTACATATTTTTTCACAACTCCCTCAATATGGGTATCAAATGAATTAGGCTTGACTAGTATAATTTTCGAATCCAAAATGGTCGCCATCACAAAATGGTGAATTACATGTCGGGGTTACTTTTAAAGTTTTCATTTATATTTTATAAGATTGAAGTATTGTGCCAGTTACTGTATTGATATTTGATGGACTCAATAGTTATAGTAGTAAAAAAAATATAGTAGAGTATAAAAACTTTGTAATTAGTACTCACAGATATTTTAAATCTGAAGTAGAAAATTTTGGATGCCTTTTGTTAGGTAAAGGACACTATTTAATTAATATTGCTTGCAGGTAGAGGCTTTTATACATATTTATTTTAAATGAAAAAAAAAGATGAACACCTATCCTAAAAGCAACAAATACTAATTATTACTAAGTAAAGATACATAAGTAACTATACTAACCTCCTCCCATATAATGTTCACCACGTCTTCGATGTTCAATCACGTCGTCGAAACGGACAAAGGCGTGGTATAATATATAAATCAGATATTTTCGAAGTCAGTTCCAGCCGATGCAAAGTAAATCTAATATATTTCGATACATAAAATTCATATTTACGTATTAGATATTTATATCTTAAAATATTGTCGGCTGGCACCGACTTCGAAAATATCTGATTAGGTATCTATTCTAAATGAAAACCTCCGTTTAGCTATTTTTTACATTTTAGTGCCTGGAAGTCGGTTTTTTTTAATAAACAGTTATTTATACTACACCCTTGTTCGCTTTCGCTCTATGGGGTACATTGCCTACAATTGGTCTTTCTTGTTCACCCTCCGATCATAATATTGTAATCTAATAAGGCATGTTTTAAGAAATTTTGGTGCAGCTTCAATAAACATAAAATGCAACACGATACTAGTTTAAGAGATGCAAATAAACTTATTTTTTACCCGACTGCGCTACGCAAAGGAGGGTAATGTGTTTATCAGTCTATGTATGTATGTATGTATGTATGTATGTACATATGTATGTATGACACTCTAGAGACCAAACGCGTGGGCCGATTTCTATGATTCATGTCGTTAGTTTCGTATTTACGCGAGCGTCATAAGCTATATATAGCCTATAATACTCGCGTTATAGTTAAAAATTAAAAATAGTTAAAAAGTAAAATGGCGGATATCAGACGCCAATTTGTCTGTAAAAAAAATTTCCAAATCAATCGAATGGGCTCTTAAAATAAAGATTTTTGGTGATCACAAAAAAAATTAAGAGAACACAACTTACATGTTTAAAGGTAATTTGGGATAAGAAATTGCTAAATATTAAGTCTTTACCTATGAAATTGTCGTTTAATATACAGAAAGTTAAATTATTGTATTTTTATAAATATTTTTCATTTCTATTAATCAAAATATGCACCGATGCTATTGATGCAATTTGATGCAAATGGACCAATATTGTTTTGATGCTAACGTTGAAAGCTGCTGCTATCTCAGCCACAGATTGAGTATCGTCAGCTTCCACTATCGCCTTTAATGCGTCGTTACTGATTTTAGTTTTCGGGCGACCACGGGGTTAATGTTTTAAGATCAAAATTTCGTTGTTGGAAGTGTTCAGACCAATAAAGAGTTGTGCGTTCGTTTGTAGTGTTCACTCGGCACTCCGTACGCGACATTAATGTTGCGAGCCGTTTGTGCGGGATTGCTGCCGCGATGGAACTCGTATTTCATAATTTCTCGTATTTTTATATTGATGAAAAACAAACAAATGTAGTGAAAACAAAACACTAATTAATAAACAAACGACTGAATTCAAAAATAGAACTCCATACTTTTAAAATAAAATTCATTTGCATTTAGAATGCCAGTAAGTATTGTAGAACGGCAATTTCAAAAGACCTATTATAACTTCAAATTTCTAATAAAATTAAAAAGCTGTAAATAAAAAAATACATTTCATCCTTGTCGCGAGATGTACATGTGTATGTCACCAACTGCATAATACTTCATTCCTTCGTCAACTTGTTTTTATCTTTTTAGTTAGCTGTTATGCAGTTAGGTTTTTTTATTTTTATAATGTTTTAAAGTAATGTGTAAGTTGAACTTATATCTGTAAAATAAAAATCGTACTGTTTTAAAAAAATCAATTTTTTTTTAGAAAAACAGTCAAAATATTTATAAAATATTAAATTTCAAATAATCCTAAAAAACATCAATGAAAATATTCTAATGAATATTAAAAAAGCCTTCCCCATACTATCCAAGAGCCGTCAAAAATGGCGGCTCGAATTTGGGTTACGTGTTATTATATTATTAATTACTTAAAATCTAATAGAAAATTTACAAATTCAATTATACGTAGTTATTAAGTTATAAATTTAAATCATGTTAATAAAAATATTATGCTATCACTAGTGTATTTTTTATTCAGAAAAAGTGAAAATATAAGGACTAAGCGCGCGTGAATGCTTACGATGTTTGACAAATATAACAATTTCTGTATAAAATCTCTATTCAATACACATCCTATGAAATAAAAACTGTTAATTACTTACCCTTCCATCATATTCCAATCCTTATACTTATAATTTTACACTATTTTGTTAATTTTTTACTCACAAGTATTGAGTTCAAAGATCGCCAAAATTTAAATAAATTGTCTGCACAAATTACAATAATTTATGTTATTGGAGTTATTACTTTTTTGACATGTAGTATGATATTATTGCTTGTATTTTTCTTTACACGTTACAAAAGTTAGATAAAAATAAATATAGTTTAAATGCGAGAAATCACACATTAAATGACTTCGGGACCAATCGACCTTTAAAAGGTCGCTTGACAGACAGTGGTGTTTTTGACATCGACCTTTAAAAGGTCGATCGACAGACGAGGTAATAACAAGCATTTAAATAAAAAACAAATTTTATAAAAAAGAACATTTAATAAAAAGAACTATAGAAATATACAACAGCAAATATATCTACACAGAAAATGAGATTTAACACTTTTTAAGCTTTGTATTTTTTGACATGAAAAATATATGTATGTGTCTTTATTATGTATACATGTGTAAAGTTATGTAAAATGAGTTTAAGAAAAATATTGAGCTCAATTTGAGCAACATTTTTCTGATTGATGCAAGTATATTCTATAAAATGAGGATTTTTAACGTATATGCAACAAGTAAATTACATGTAAATGAAAAAATGAAAACTATATACTAAAATTATATTTAATAATCCAATATTTATTATCTTCCAGAAATTGCTTATTTTTAATTATCTGTTTCCATGAAACGGAATTTTACACTGAAAAATGATTATTTCCATGTATTATAATGTAAATGTAATCTTATCACATTACAAATTGATTAAATTTTAAAGCCTATTTTCACTTATGCGATATAGGTCTTTGCCTAAAACATACTAAGACAAGGTTTCCCAGATTTATATAATTGAAAATGTCATATTTTTAAAACAATATACCGAAACGAATTCTGAAAAAATATGTAATCTTAGAATTTCTAGTGTACAGATAGATATAAGTTAGACCATTATTCAGACTTTATTGCATCGAACAAAATAGCAGAGATAGGTTTTAGCTATGGTATAAATATTTATTTCTTTTGTGTTTTATCTTTATGTAAAACTCCACTCCCAAAAATATAACGTATGTCCTGAACGAAACAATGTGTACCCTTGCCTTTAACTTTGTATGGACTATGCATGATTACTATTTGACATTATAATAAAAATGCATAAAATCTTATAAGCGAAAATAAACTTCATATTAACGATATACTTTTTTCATATCGCTTAAAGCACTGAGTAAGCTCAGCACAAAATATTATTTATCAACAGGTCCAGTCACTAGCTGGCGCCACTGATATCTCATTCTCTTCATACTTTTGTTATGGGTGTTATTAATTCGGTGGAAGGTAGGAATCATAACGTTGTGACATGCAGTTATATTTAAAACCACCGTACATTGTGAATTTTTAAAAAGAATGTACATTATACATATTTACTATAATAATATTACTAAGTAAGATAACCTAAATGGTGCTAATTGCTTTTCATTAAAATAATCCTTATTCGTTCTATTTGTATGTCCGATTTAGTCGTAAAAAATAAATTGTACCTGAATCCTGTCCAAATGTTGAAATCGGACTTCAACATATATATACAATTATACACATAGATGTGGAGTCAATATTTCCCTTCTAAAATTGATCATTTACTGAAGAGAGACTAAGCGTAATGTATATATATATATATCTTTTTCTGTAAATAAAATTAAAAAAAATCTTTCTGTAAGCATGTAAGCATTCATACACAGAAAAATCTTAACATTTCGTGGGTATTTTGCTATAGGATTTATATGAATGTTTATTCTAATATATATAGCCCTTAATTTTTACTATTTGTAAATGCTTTATATGAAATCAGTTACATAAATCAAACCAATAATTTTTAATTATATAAACTGTTCGCGTTAATAAGATTTTTATTATATACATTTTTATTTTTATAATTTTTATTGCTTTTGAATTAAGCCTATATTAATATTTTTGAATGTAATTTATTTTTTAATAAGAAAATAATTATTAAAAAGTGCAAATATAGGTGGGAAATTCAAATTAATTGAAACGCAACGCATTGGTCAGATCAAATATGACATCAGAGTATATCATAACATAGCAATTAGCGACTTTATCGCTACAGTTTGAGTTGCCATTTTTCTGTGTATGATATACTGACGTCACGCCAAGCGTGAAAAATAGCGGGCGTTTAATGTATCCCTACCGGTATGATATTTGTAACTTTTTTATACTAAATAGTAGTTTTTTGGAGCTGGATATTTTTCTTAACAATTTTAAATTAAGCTATTTTGTAAAAAAAAAATCACGCATATTCCCTATTAATTGGCAACAATTATCATTATACTTTGTAATATTATATTATATAAAAACCCCAGTAGCTGTCTACCAGTATCTAAATTTTTTATTTTAAAAGTACCTTATCCTTTACAGAAGGAACCACCACCCTTATTAATTAACTTACTTTCCGTATGTTATATATCAACTAATTATTATATTTAAATAAAAAAATGCACATTCTGAAACACAAATAAAATTCACAACGTGCGGTATGTTTTAAAAACCCAACTATATGAATTAGACATATTATTATATTATTAGAATATAAAGAAATAACTAATGTAAAATGGGAAATGTTATATGTATGGCAACACTGAGTCCTTTTAAAAAATTCCCTTAGCAAAAGTTATATAGTAGTGGAGCCCAAGAGGGGATATTGGGATTTACTCAAGCGCTGTTGGTTGGTTGGTTTACATAATATCATTTAAATATTTTTTTTGATAAGATAGAAATACTTGAGCATGGTGGTGGGCTAATTACATGCTGAAAAATGCGCAATTCAATAATCTATCAATTTCCACAAGCCGAAGAATCAAAAATCGTCCATAAACTTTATGGCTTGAGTAGCCATAAACTTTATAGCGTTTGAGTAAACCCCAAAAACCCCTCTTGGGCTCAACTACTATTATCATTTAACGACAAATATAAACATAGCTTCATAAGTAGCTCTCACAAATGCTAAAATTGGAATAGTTACACAACACGTACTTAAATATATTATTTTCGTAAATGAGAAATTCATAAGTGAGAATTTCAAGTTCGTTTAAAACTTCACATGGCATTGAATTAAGTTAAATTTAAAATTAAATAAATGCAAGGACTCAATGTGCAAATGGTAAAATTATCTGTATATTGGTCGTAAATCAAACCTGTGCGATGTATCGGGCGTTGTTACGGCCAACACTGGACGGAAAAAAAGTCGCGGTTAAATACAATACCTTCACTATTTAGAGATTGGTTATTTATTATATACAAAGTGTAGTGTATTGAAATATTGCATTTTTATTTTGGTGTAGGTAAATTTTTAGTTATCCAAGATGGCGCTAGTCTTTACACCAAATGAAACCGTGAGCAGTAGTTAATAGTTAATTAAAATTCAGTTGTAATTATACGAGTACAATAATAGCAAATAATTTATATTCATACACTTAGGAACACTATATTGAAGTATACAAGGAACATATATAAAATATTCAATTATAAAAATATCGATAGTTATATGATAGTGAATTAATAGAAATCTTAGCACATGCTTCGCAGTCTATAATATATGCATTTAAAGCTTTACAGAAAAACACTTTTACACACATTCTCTCAGAGAAAAGAAAAACGCATTTTATATATGAAATATAATATTTTGATACATTAAGCTAAAGTACTGAAAAAATTGTAATATCAAATTTAATTGAATTTTTAATATTGCTACTCATTTTTATTTAAAAAATATTTATCAAAAGTGAAAATATGTCTTTAAAAAAATTAAAAATAATTAAGACATTCCATATAAATTCCAAAAAATCGACAGTAAAATAGTATATATTAACAAAGTACCAAAGCTAATTTTTTCCATATAACTCACAATTACAGCCAATCACAACATTATTTGGCATCTCATATAGTTATTATACCTTGAGTCCGAAGACCATTTTGAGAAACTGCTCATAGTGTATGGTGATGACTCCGTCTTGGTCAGTATCGAACTGACGAAAAGCTGATGTTAAGGTCTGTAAAAAATAAATTCTTTTTAAATCTTATAAAGGGTTATTAAAATTGATCTCCACTTTATTTGGGAGTTCAGACTGTATATTAGGATCTCCTCAGCCAATTAAAGTAGTTACTTATTTTATTTAAGTTAAAAACTTATATGAAATAGCTCAAAACCACTTACATGCAAATTGTAATGAGTAAATTGTTCAACATAAATTTAAAACACTCCTTACATCATTCCAATTAAATAAAAAATCAAAATAAAACAAAATAAAACGGCCTTTATTACAGGAATCAGAGTTACAGGGTTTTCAGATAAAATTGTTTTAAAATTTACATAATATCTCTGATTTCTGTGTGCTTTTAAGCAAAGGCCTACTCCAACTGTCTCCACTGGAATCTATGTAGCGCCACTCGTGTCCATAGTGGCCGTAGAGTTACGCGGATTTCATCCTCCCATCTCATTATCTGGTGCCTCTTTTGCATTTACCATCTCGAACTATTAAACTAACTATAACTATATTTCTAATTATTAAACTTAAAAAACACTATAATAAGCATCAGAAGCACATTAAGCCACTTACATATAAAGTGATACAGCATTGAATAAAGTCATCAAACAGTATGGTCCCTCTACCAAATCTGTCAAACTTTTGCACCATAATGTTGACAATTTCATCAGACAGTCTGTATCCAAATGCTGTGAGGGCATTTTTTAATTCAACTTTATCAATATTTCCCGAACTGTCTCTGTCAAAAGAACGGAAACAATTTTGCCAATCGCTCACATACTTCCATAGAGCTCCAAAATCCTCAAACGATATAACTCCTCTATTTTGTTTGTCAAACATACCTGCAACATGAGACATCATAGATAAAAATATATAATCAGACTTGATGAGTAACATCAAAAATCATAACATAACGTTTTGTTCTGATTTTTTGTTCCCAACTTGAAAAACATACAATATTTTGCATAAATAAGTGTCACCAACACTATGACAAGTTTTTCACATAATAAACTTTGCATATCATTAAAAAATAATAATCATATTTAGTACTCAGACTCACATTTATCTTTTTTTTTGGGATTGATATAAACTTCTCATGTAATTCAACTTTGAACTATTATTTTATTACCATAAATATTTGATAGCTACACTATTTTAAGTAAATAATAAACAATAATAATATTTATTAAATTAATAACCTGTTTAGTTTGAGGAACCCAGTTAAAAATAAAAATATATTAAATAATTGATTTCTAAATTGACTTACCTATCATGAGTCGCACTGTTTCTGGATTGAATGGATTCCATGTACCATTTGATAATGCTTGCTGTAATTCATCTGCAGATATATACCCACTCCTGTCTTTATCTACCCTGTAAAATTTTAGTATCTAAAATTAACTGATTATATTTATTTTAATATTGTGTAATTATTGTGACTCACATTAGTGGTCTACTGGTCTACTACAATGATTTTTATGAATAATAATGACGTTTCATTATTATAAGCTTATGACAGTTAAATGTACATACCTTCTGAAGATATCCCACAAAAATTCTCTGCTAGGCATTGGAGATTGAAAAGACATTGTTATCTAAAATATAAATAAAGAAACTATTAAATTTTATCTATTTTAACTTTTGAAATTGATACAAAAAGTATAATTAAGTAATTACTCAGGGTTATTAAAAACAATAAACTAGGCTATTGGGGCATCAAACAATTGAAAAAATCATACCTAACACTTTATCAGTAAAAACTAAGGAGGAATCACTAAACTGAGTAGAATTTACTTTTAAATAAAAGAGACTTACAGATCAAGGGCTAACCGAACAGTAATTGAAGGTATTATTAAATGTTTAATATTTTCACTATGCTCTTTATAATCAAATAGGCCTTGTAAGTTCTAACTGCCGTGCGCCACACAATATACGTGGATGATTAATCCTCTTGAGTCTTGTTGTTCCTGGTCTATGATTAATCCAAGCACCAGCCACCTAGCGTTAAGCGAGATGACAGATGACAGATCACGGATATTAAAATCATGAATGCCAAATAAAAATCTAAATTTTGTCACCGTGTATGTCACCCTTTGTCTGTTTTGACTTTTGTTCATTCTGTCAAAGCCTTATCTAAAAGTATTGCCATACGACATATATTCAACGTATTAATTTTGTTTTTTCTCTTTAACGTGATTTTCTTAGTAAATTTTTGATTCTACTAAATTAAATTTCCACTTGATATTTAATTAAGAATTAGGATAAATCAATATTACACAAAATTGGAATATTTTTAGTCATTATTTTTAAATGGCATTGCTTATAATATTTTAAATTTTTTAAGATCTCTATCTCATTATAAATTAAGGCTGAATAAAATACGTTCTTGTATATGTCTTTAGAACTATATTAAAAAAACAACTCTGAGTTTCTTTGATATTAAAATGGCGGATGTCTCAAGCGATGAACGGAAAGTAAAGTTAACTAAAAATGGAAAAGTTGTGAAAAGACGCTTACGAAATCCAGAAGGTAAGATTGAGGCTTTTTACTCGGATTTTGTGGGTACTATCATTCATCATATATAAATTACTACCCTTATATATTCATTGTTTGACGTTTAAGATGGTATTAAATTTTTGACTCTTACTACATTTTTGATACGTAAGTCATATTACAAATACTTAAAGAGTTGTTTTGAATGATTATTTATTTGTATTTTAATGTTAAAAATTGTGTTTTCCAATATATAGTCCTATTTGGTGAACCACTATGTTATACCTACTTTTAAATATGTATTAGATAGCAATACTACCTAAATTCTTTTTCATTGTTATAATATATCTATATTTTAGTTTATGTTATTTATCTTTTCAGAATGGCACAAACAAAAACAGAAGCGTTTAAGAATCGCTGGATTGGAATATATAAATGCGAATGGCAAGATAGTTCCCCCAAAGCAACCTGGTCCTGATTGCAATTGCCGCCGAAAATGTTTTCAAAAAGTTCCTGAAGATGTTAGACTTAAAACGTTTCAAGGTTTTTATTCCATGAAAACTCACGACGAACAAAATGCATATCTTTTTGGACTTATGAGGCAAGTTGACGTTAAACGGAAAAGAGTAAAATCAAGCAGTAGACGAACATGCACATTTGAATATTTCGTAAGAGTTAAAGGACGTGAAACTCAAGTATGCCAGACAGCATTTAAAAATATACATGCAATAACAGAAAGAAAGGTCAGAGTACTTTGCAAAAAAATGGATGATGGAGTAATGTTTCCAAGTGACAATCGTGGTAAAAACAGCCATAGGCGTTCTGGTGAAGTACGACTACCGTCTGCAGTTATAGATCAGATTAAAAATCACATTTATTCCATAGTTCATACTCACAGATTGAAAGATTTTATCAGACTTGACAAAATTGCTGGTCTAGAAATTAATATATCAAAAATGTGGAAAGACTATATAAAGACTTATGATCCAGACAACATATCAGCCACAATGCCTAAATCAAAAAGAAATGTTGATATAGTGTTATCGAGTGAACCATGTCAACCTACACAGCATCCACCCCCACAAGAGACCTTTGCCCCCATTGCTTATCCTGGTAGTGGTCACCTCGTTAATATTGCAGAAAATTATTTTGAAAATCAATATCAAACTGCTTTAGCAACTACTACAAATTCAACAAACTTTTATCCGACACAAAATGGTCCACAAGGAATGGGAATACTTTTACAATCAACCGTATCCAGAGCAACTCAACCTACTGCCTTCATTTTGCTTCAAACTAAGCCTGAGCCGCAACAAGATCCACTTGCTATTACTAATGCACCTTATAATCACAATATAAGTGAAGTACAAGAGAATGAAAAAAGTTCAAAGAAATCAAAAAAAGAAAGAAAAAAAGGCCCTCTTGTCAAACAATGGAGGTATACAAATATATTTCATGATGAAATTAATGGAGCAGCATTAGTAGCTATTAAAACAAGACTGGGAATGTACTACGCAGAAAGTGATGCTGCAAGAAAAAAGGCCAAGCAGGCTAGACCTCAAGAGTCAGTTCAAACTCAAACACAAAATGAACAACCTCAAATTAGAACTGAATTAGCACCCATAAGACCACAACATCAACCACTAAGGTCACATACTGTTACAATATATACATAACACAATGAGGGCTAATATTAGGTTTGTCACAAATGCAAATTATATATGAGATTGATGCTTACGTGGAAAATATTCTTGTTCCTAATACTACGAGAGGAAGCAAACGCTACGTTCTGTATGGTGTTATATTTACATGTGATAAAATTTTGTTTAGATGCTTTTCTTGATTTGGTAATTGACTTACTAGGATATTCCTTATATTGTCTTTTGTATCTTAAATCGAATAAGCATTAACATCACTTAATTTTCCATATAAGCAAGTCTTTCTCTGACATTACACATTCTGTGCAAAGCAGTTTTTAGCCCTCATAAAAATTACAATTATTCACATATGACTGATATTAAACAATGTTAAACTTAGTTGGGAATTATAACCGTTAAAATCCAAATAGGTTATGCAAGTTTTTATTTATCTAAATCTGCTACTTTTGTATTAAATATGTTACATATTACTCATATAAACAAGAAGAGTAGTAAAGAGTATTATTATACTCGCTTAATGCTTAATATAATTCCTTTGAAACTTTAACATAATTCTAGATGTAATGTAACCCCAGTGTCTTGTTTAGTAAGTTGTTAGCAATAACTATTTAAAATATTTTGATTCCATACACAATGGTCTTTAGTCATTACTTTTAGGATTTTATAGAAATCATGATATCATATTTATATTATTATTCAATCATGTATTTTTTTAATATGAATCGCTCACATCTATAATGTATTACAATTTTAATGTAATATTAAATGGATAGTGTATTTACTGTTATGTATTTTATTTAACCCAGTCTTATTGAAATGAAAACTTCTTTAGCCGCGTTGAGCGGTTTTTGGTAGGGTAAAACTTATGGGTTCGCGTCACCGTCATGCTACGTGTGACATGTTACGTGTCGATGCAGTCTGGCGCATATTTTCATTAATAAATAAACTGTATCAAAATGTAAATAATTATTGCTCGGAGTGCCAATGAATGTGAAAACCAGACTTAATAATTTCAATTTACGAATTATGAATTTTTAATTATTCATACTATAATTTAAAAAAAAACAAAAACAGTTCAATAACTGTTTAGCTAATGCTAAAGTAATAAGTTTTCACTTCTGTAGGCAGTCCCCATGACTGCTTATTTTATTTTCCGCATATTCTTTTGCGGCTTAGTGGCTCCTTCTTTTCATTAGTTCGGGCCATTATGGTGTTGGCACCCAAAGCAATGCCAAATAACATAGAAACTCACTAATCACTTTGAAGTTTGAGCAGAAAATATAGAAATGGTATCAGATATGCAATAATATCCTGACAGAGGACGCTTCAACATTCTGTATATTTTCCTATATTATGTTATATTTGCGGCATGGCATCTTATTTCTGAAGTACCAATATTAAATCCTACTAATAGTTTAACGCGAAAGTTTGTAAGAATGTTTGTATGTGTGTTACTCACGCAAAAACTACTGATTGGATTTTGATAAAACTTTACAATAATATAGCTCATACATCAGAATAACACTTAAGACTACTTTTTATCCCGAAAAAATGTACGATTCTCGTGGGATAGATTTGTTTTTGTTTTTCTAGAGGCGAAGCGAGTTGTTATTGGGGTAGACCGAAACGTTTTTAGACACTTATATTCCAAGCTAAGCTGTCCTAACCTCGTTTGGATAAAGCAATTGCCCAATATCAAAAGATTGATTAAAATCGGTACCTACAGAGTTTATAGCTTACAAACAAAACCAAGTCTTGTTTGATGTCCTCCTGACCAGCTCGGCGGTCTAGCGCCTAATATAAAAAAAATTATGAAACATATTTCAATTTTAGTTACACGTTTTAGTGTGTATCATAAAAATTACTGAACTGATTTTAATGAAATCTTTACTATTCCCTAAGTGGAATTAAGTGTAAGCAAAAAAAAAAAGAATGATCACGATTCGATTACTAGTTTCGGAGAAATGCGTGAACAAACATACATATATACATATGCACCTATAAAATTTTGTATATTTGTTTGGAAGCCCTAATGGATTATTATCATATTATGTGAATATTTTGCAGTCCAATAATATTACATACATATGTACGTGTCGAATTGATAACCTCATTTTTAAAGTTGGTTAAAAACTAGGATGACTTTGCCAGGATCTAAAAATATTATCAATTGTTGAAGTTCGGATAGCCAAACAAATTCAATTATGAATTAAATCCTTCACTTTTATTCTAGTTAATATTATTTTTAAGCATGGGCACATAAGGCGCGGAAGCAGCGGGAAATCGAGAGCTAACATTCCATTCTATCTGCTTATAAACAATTTTTAATTATATTGTAAACAAAAAATCAATAATTACAAAAATTCTATTCTCATCTATTTCAGATGAAAATACTTGTATCATACATAATATTAACTTATATACGAATTTACTAAATAGTAAATGCTAACTCAGCGCTATTATGTATTACAAAACATTTAAGTTAATACTAGTTGCGCCAACCAACATCCCAAATTCTATTAGAAAACAAATTATGAGCCATTTCCATAAATGTTAATTAAATTCTATATAGATTTACAAAATAATTGACAATTGAATTTAAAAGAAAGTGATAATTGCCAACTAATAAGTATTAAAACAAGATGATTAAATTAGTACTAAAAGTAAAGTTGGTGGGCGGTGGCAAGATCTAGCGACATCTATTATCTCGACCCTGAACTACTTCTTGACTGAAGGTTTTAACACAATATTTACGTCTTTTTTTAAAAAGGCTTTTCCACACTGGCAATTTTTGCCCGTTATGTATGACTGTGCTATTTGTATGTATGTATTTGTAATTCTTTCAATATTTACTTATATCAGAGATTTTACAAAACTTAAGTAATATAATAAGAAAACAAAAAACATTATTTTATATTTTTATTAAACTTAAATTATGCAGACAGTACACATGCTCCACCAACTTCTTTAATCTTCTTTTCAGCTGTTTTGGAGAAGAATTTGGCTTTGACAATGACTGGCTGTTTGGGTAGCTTTCCCTTACCAAGCAGTTTGTAGTAACCCTATAAAAGAGACATTTTATGAGTTGTTTACAGTTAAAATGGCATTACAATTAAAACAAATGAAAAATGCATTTTTGATAAGATTTTGCTGTATTTTATCCCATACATATTTATAAATTATATTCAACAGTTTACAGATTGAATCAGTCTCTGTCTATTTAAGAACAAAAATAAAAGAGTCACTCAAATTAGGGCTGACCAATTTCATTGTATGGCATGGAGTTTCTTGTAATTGTGTATTATGGTGTCAACCATAATTGTACACTAAAAATATATTATGATATACACAGGCAGCATGCAAATAAATGTCATAGATACAATAATATAAATTTATGCATGCACATGTGTACACAAACTAAATAATAATCTAAAAACCAAGACCAAACCAGGGTTTAACTACTTTAATGAATGAATATTATATATATATTCATCTGAATATTCATTCTTAAATGTACCAAACAGAATATTTGGCTGAATGGTGCATTTTATTGTAGCACAGTAATCAGATTGTCGGTTTTTAATTTCTCTTTATTTTTCAATTTTGTGAATAAATGATTGTAACAAGTAATGTCATTAATGAATCTGTTGTGAAAATTATACATATGAATTTTCACAAGAGCATTTTAAAATTTCAATAAAATTATCTATGTATTTAGTAATTCATACAGATTCATATATTTTTGCAATAAAATTAATTAAATATTATACTCACAGCTTTGACAATATTAATAACTGGAACTTTTCCATCTGAAGCATTGGCATATTTAAGCCTGGCTTGCTCAGAAACAAGGGTCCATAGTTTGTCTAGATTCAGCACAGGGCAGAATTCCTTGTTTCTTCTTAAGTGGTAATTTCTCATACCCAGCTATAATAAAAATTTGAGCATTATTGATATATTGGATACTTTAATAACAATACTTATTCTTTTTAAAACTTTTATTTAAATTTAAGATACACACACGTCTCACATAAAATACACATCTAACTTTTTACATATTTTAAAAAACTTACTCATGATATTATTAAAAAAAAACCTGATTTCACAATATGTACGTTTGAAAAATCTATAAAAGCTCATAAAAGGGGTTTTAAAATATAATTTTTTTACCTTGCCAAAGTATCCAGGGTGGTACTTGTCCATGTTAATTCTGTGGTGGTGTTCACCACCAGCGTTACCGCGACCTCCAGGATGCTTGCGGTGCTTTCCTAGTAGAAAAAAAAGTTGTAATAGGAGAACTGCATTATATCCGAAAAATACACGAATGTTTTTTCTTAACGATTTGTTAAAATTAAATATTTATATACGTAATTGATACTTACCAATACGTCCATGACCATGGCTTACATGTCCTCTTAACTTCCTAGTCTTCTTCTTAGAGGTAGCCTGCAGGACAACAAATAGGTTAACATTTTGTTTTCATCAACAGTAAATTACTTATGAAAATATACCGGTCGGCGTCACATCATTCACTATTGAGTCACAAAAATGATAAATATTATACATTTATTATAAGGATTACTTAGAAAATTTGAGATAAAACACCAATATAAACACGAACCATATTTCCAGTCTTCAACAAGAACTGTAAAAGAAAGAGAAAGATACAAGATATATGTCAATGTCAAAACTACATAAGTTGCCAGTACAAATAAATAAAATACATAATATGATAATATCTATGGTATTGTCTTGGAGGTTGGACTTGGAACAATAACAAAATACATATTAACCCCAGCAGGAAACCAGCCTTCCACCGGGTTACATCCACCTGGAGCTGTCAAAATTTCTCATTAGACTATGACTTCTTTGTATATGTTGCAAAGTAAATAAATGCAATTATTATTTAAAGCAGTATATATTTTTTTCTTAAACAACAATAACAAAATATCGGAAATACTCCAACTTTCTTTCTTAGATAAGTATAAAAAATATTTGTTGTAATAACATAGACAATGAATGACCGTGCCTCAGAGTATTTTAATTTGAGTAAATAAGATTTAGTACTTACATATATTTTATTCTGTACTTACATTATTGTCCACCATAGAGTATATTGCTACATATATAAATTGTCCACTGACCTAACTTCCTAGTTCCTAAGTTTAAGTTTATTAATCTCTAATCTGTGGTCAGTATGTTTCCAGAAAATGATAGGATTGTGTGTCGAGTTCTGACACGTATTTAGATAAAAATCGTAAATAATTGTTGAAAAGTTTATTATGTGGTTTTACTAATTGAAGATATCTAATAGAATAGGTACTATTTAAGTTTTCAAAAATGGAGTTTCGCGAGACCTTGTTGGCTGCTCAACGAAATCAACAAGAAAAGTCATCTGTAAGTTTTAATTCTTATTTTGCGATTAATAAGCCTAAGTTTATTCAATACCAGATGACTCAGTCAAAGAATTTCGTTTTTGTATTAAATATGGCCAATTTTATTTATTTTTATCCAAAGGGAAAAAGTTATCCCCATAAACAATATGGGTTAATAATCACTAGTAAATATCCATAATGAAAATTTCGTATCTTTTGTTTTCTTCTAACATAATAAGTTATGCCAGTATACCGACATAGATTAAAAAATTCAAAGCTGTATAATTAATTTATTATAAGAGAAACATAGTAAGTGATTTATTTAAATTTTGTATTTCAGGACAGGACATTCTACAAGGCCCGTTTTGATCCACCAAAAAAAGAACAAAAATGTAGGGATCGTCTGTCTGCTAATATTCAAAAATTTTTGGCCAAAAAAGAAGAAGAAGAAAGGCAAAAAAAATTGGAAGCTCAACGAAAAAGGGAGGAACTGAGTGCTATGCGTGATCCTAAGGTGAAACATTCTTCCATTAATAAAAATTTAACCTCTAAAGTTAATAAACAAGGTATTTGAGAGCCTTAACCATTTTTCCTAAACCTTATAACAGCATTATTAATAAAAATGTTTTTAACATTACTTAATTTTAATGATTGTGGTTTGCTTATCTCTATAGATAAACATATCATATAGTTTATAAAATAAAAAAAGTGAGTGCATGTAACCTTTATGCACGGTTCAAGTAAAACTTCAATGGTGCTGTGGCAGATACTGCAATTAAAATAAAACAAATCAAAATATAAATAAAATTATTTTTATAAGTAATCACACAGGTCTGCGATGAAAAAGTTTTGGTAATAATTTCATTTAAAACATAATATAGATCTTGACCTGTATATTCCAATTTATATACTTTGCTTTAACATATCACATCACTTTTTTTTTCATATACATACTTGCAGTGGCGGCCTTAGGGGGTGGCAAGCAGGGCAACCGCCCGGGGCCTCGCGCTTGTAGGGGGCCTCGCGCCTTCGCATAACAACCCAAGTGTTGATACACTTGGGTTTCAGTTGATTCTGATGAATCTCCTGCCTTAGGCCGGACATTACAAAACCCACATCCTGCCAGTACGAGCATGTAGCGTTTAAGTCAATAAGCTATTAATATTAAATTTTACGTTATTATAGTAATTATAGTAAAGAATGAATTAGTAAAAAGACTGCGTACAACTGCTTGTATTTTTTTAATTAATTTTATGTGCAAAAAATATTTTCTAACTAAGTTCGCACGATTGTGATGCCAGTCGAAAAATTGAGTTTGGTAGTTCAAAAACGCAACAAGCCATCAAAAGAAAGCAGGTAGAAGAAAATCTGTATGGGTCTCTATATAAATATATAGAAGGTGATGGTCAAGAAGCTTCTAAGTCCTTAAGACCTTTCAGTGACTAAATGTGACATGTTTTTGCATTCTAAGCCTAAAGCAGCTGAAATATTTTTATCGACATCATTTGGGATGCCGTTACTACCTAGCGATGATAATAGTAAGTAAACAACATCATTGTTACTCCACCGCCGCCGCCGTCGTCAACACTATCCAGCCAGAAATACGTATCTACGAGTAAATCTATGTCTACATCCATGAGTGGCGGAATTGAATATCTTATACTCAATACGTAAAATGACCCAGGTTTATGACCATCAATAATTACTGATGCAAACCGAACTGAGATTTCATTGAAAGGTCCAATCCGCGCTAAGACAGATTTTTTCCCGTAAATGATAGTGGACGGCAATTCAGTGAATAAGTATCATTACAATTAAAATATTAGCTTATGGTGAAAAATTGGACAAGCATTGGATGATTTATTCACAAACAAAACTTGCCATTTACTTCTTCTGTCGATTGTTCAGAATAGAATATAAAGAATTGGGTCCAGTGCAGAACTTTGCAATTGGAAACACTTGGGTAAATATTTAAAGTTTCACGACTTCGGCTGCACAAAGATTGTATGTTAAAACGGTTAAATTTAGAGAACGGATTGTGAAACGGATTATTAAATTTAGAGAACGGATTAAAAAGCTGTACAACTATTAATTCTTTAGCCCAGAGGCTTTCCTTCATTGGCCGCCCAAAGTGAAGCGCAAGAGCCAAATCCTTGAGAGGGTAGAAGTGCTCATTCTGTAAAATAACGGGGAAACCCACGAGCACTTGTTATGGTGAAACCGGTGCACACTTCTCGATAACCGTAGCCAACCACACTGATGTTGTGCCCGGGGCACTATGCCATTAGTGGGAGGCGAGTCACCGTCTGCCAAATATTGAATATGAAACTGTTGAGAAGGCGGACATTCGATAGTCTCATCCAATAGCCCAGTTTTTAGCCCATCCAAATTCCATTCCATAGACTCTTTTAGTTTTCCATATTTTCCATAGTCCCTACGCATTGTCCGGAACCATATTTAAGCAATTCCTTATGGGTAACTCAGAGATGGATGCCGGTTGATGCGTCATATTAAACACTTAAATCTCTTAAGTGGTCTCTACGTGTTGGACCTGTGTTGCCCACACAAGCCTTCCAAACAACCGAGCTCCTTCGAGCTCGTGAATTCTAAAGAGCAGAGCCGGATTCAACCTTAGTGCCGCCCCTGGACACTAAAAAAAATGCCGCCCTGTTATCGCAGCTTTGCATAAAATGAATAGTTTCGATAAATTTTTTTTTAAATGCAAAAATAATAATTTATAAGTGATATTATTTGTTCGAAAAATATATACTATAACTAATATATATTATACTACTTAGTCTTTTTTAATTATTCATTTTTTGGAAACTAAAAAAAGCATTTTCGATAACGTGAAGACATTTTTTTCCCACCCTCCAAATTTTGCTGCCCCTAAAAATTTGTCGCCCTGAGCACTAGCCCGGAATGCTCCTAATGTGAATCTAGCGCTGCTAAAAAGATACTAATAATGCCACTATCTCTGAAAAATTATTCAAAATGAGCTAATAGAATTAATGGCAAGTCACGCAAAACCTAAAAATGTTGACAAAATAATTTTGTCTTTTTTGTGCTTGCTAACTTTTACAAATTTCTAATATACAATTTTAAATTTATTTATTTATAAATTTTACATTTCTCGCCAAGCATCATCATTAAAAATATTTTCAATTCACGTAAATTTCATAAAAAACAAGGGCCTCGCAAAGAACTCCTGCCCGGGGCCTCGCAATGGCTAAGGCCGCCCCTGCATACTTGCATGGGCAACAAAGCAGCTTGTAGCTCATTAAGTTTGTCCTAAAGAAGCTAATGCTAATTTAAAAAGTATTTAATCAAAATAAAATACACCAAAACCAAATGGTTAATTTCCTATGTCTTAAAAATCATATGCATATCATCTGAACTGTCAGGAAGGAATCATTCACTCCGTCGAGACAATAGAAAAAAGGTATCAAGGTAGTTGGGATGCCACTGAGATAAAGAGAAAATTCATAAATGAATACCAATCAAACAGTTATTTATTGAACAAAATATGCATTTTTTTTGCTTCCTGTATACCTTTTTGTTTTAATTGCAAAATTATATGCTGAATAAAACTTTGAAGAATAATAATTAGAATTATATTATTTACATATTTTTTGTTTCGCATTTATTTGTATTCAAAGTTCAAACAAAACGCCATCTATATCTGGTACATTTGACATAGTGTATATATAGTGTATGTTTACTTTAAATATGATTTCTTTATAGGCTTTGAGAAAAATTCAGAAGACACTTAAAGTTATTAAATCAGCTAATAAATCAGTGCTAGCTGATGCAATGGATAGAGAACACACTGCAGTAACTAGAGAAGGCCCAGATCAACCAGACCAGGACGATTATGGATATGAATCACAGGAAGCAGCAGCTTTGTATCAAAAAATGATGCAAAAGTATAGCAAAGTTCCTGATGAACCAAAGTTTGCACCCGGAGGTAGGAAAATGTATAAATGACAATTTTAAATAAAACTATCTTTTCGGATTATTTTGCAGATTTATTTTGATTTTTGGTTCCCAACGTTTCGAATGCTTTACAGCAATCATGGTCACGGAAGAGACTAAGGTTTTAGACTTATCATGATCTCAAAGGCATTTTAAACATGTTACAGACAGAAAGTTTTATTTAAAATGTCAAATATTCGCGTAATTCTAAGAAAGTATTATATAAATAAATAAGAAGTGATTTTTTATGAAGAACATATTGAATTTAAGTAATTTTCTCTACAAATTATTTTTTTTAAATTATATTTTTGTAATATATCTCATTTATCAAGTGTCATGGCACCTGCCATTTTACTATCAAATTAATGGCGTTTTTTTTTTACTTTTTGTATCATTTTTGTAAAATTTGCAGGTAATTATGTAAGTAAAGATATAAATGGTACTAGAGAGCGAGTGAAACATGCTCTACAACATGAAGATGATCCTGTTCCACATAAGAGAAGACGTAGAACCGAAAATGGTGGTGTGTACTTTTATTTTATTAATCGTAAGCCAAACAAGTTGTCATTCCAAAATCTTAATATCAAAGCTACATGGCCTCAAAAAAACAGTATCTCATAACTGCTAAAGTTTGGACATTTTACGATAGCATGTGATGTAAGTGAATAAATTTAAATGTTTGTTTTTTTCCCGTTATATTTTTTTGTTAGGTGTTGTATGTTGGAATTAAAATAAATAGTTATTTCCTAACAAAACAGGTATGCCAACATTTAATACTGATTTAGGGTATGACTTATTAATTAAAATAACAATTATTATAATTGTTTAATAACTGGCAGAAATATATGAGATATTAAAAACATACACACTAAAAACTACAAAATCCCATCTACTTCATCAAATAAACTTTTTTTTTAATTCATAAATAGGGCAATTGAACATAAAACATAGTAATTTTATAGTAAATACTTATACAATTCATTTCAAACAGTTGGGTGAAGTACTGCACTTGTTGCTAGGTTATAAATATAATCTGTATTAAGTAGTAAATTATACTTTCAGAGAGAGAATTGACGCCGCCCACAAAATATGAACCGGAAAGAAAGAAAGATGAGAAATCGGAAAAGCCCAAGATACGGAAACCTGCCCCACCACCAATGGATTTCAATCAATTATTGAAACTGGCTGAACAAAAAAAGAGTGAACCAATAGAAATAGCTACGAAAAAAGTTGTGGCCGAGCCAGAACCTGATAGGCTGATGACAAAGAAGCAAAAACGGGAGTATGAAGAAGAAATGGCGCGTCGACAGCGGAGGCAAGAAAGGATTGAAGCGGCCAAAGCAGGCCGGAAAGGTATTTTATATATATATCTTATATTAGCAGTAACCAACACACATAAAAACTTTCATATATGTATATAATAGTCTGATGGCTATTATAGTATACTAGCTAGTTACATTTTAACGTTTAGCTCAGAGATGATATATTTTCCCGCAGTAAAAAGCATCCTATATGTTGACCCGGATATCCAGCTATCATCATACCAAATTTCATCAAAATCTGTCCAGTGGTTTTTCCGCGATGTGGTCAGAGACAGACAGACAAAAATCCTAAAAACTATAGGTTCGGCCTCTGTGTCCATAATGATGTCTATTTCAATAAGATTTTCGAAAAAATATTTAATGTACAAATTCGTCTTAGTTAGAATTCTATTATATGTATAGATACGAAAGTTTGTATGAGTGGATGTTTGTTACTCCTTCACGCTGAAATGGCTGGACGGATTTGGATGTACAGAGATAGACTTTGACCTTGAGTAACACAGGGTATTTTTTAGCATCTAGGGACACATCCAAGGGAGTGTCGCTATTATATGTATATCCCATCCCATGAATCTATACTAATATTATATAAAAGTTTGTGAGTATGGATGTTTGTTACTCTATTACGCCAGAACAGCTAAACGGATCTGGATAAAATTTGGCACAAAGGTAGATTCTAGTCTGGAATAGCACATGGATTACTTGGAAAAATGTACGGTTCCTGTGGGATTCGTTTTTGCTTTTCACTAGACTAACCTGAGCGAACCGAGGGCGAGTTGCTAGTCTTAGACAAAACATTGATTTGACACTGCTAGTGCTAAAGCGGTTTGTTTAAAATGTATTTAATGGCATACACATTTTGTATTAGAACTATTATTTTAACTACTTATTAGTTAATGGTTAAAGAGAGTTGGAAAAACTAATATTAAAAGATATTATATTTGTTAGATATATCTTATGCTTTTTTACTCTGTTTCTGTTGTAATTTACTCTGTGTTAACACCTCTTCACGTTTACACCCTGTTACCTACGTAATATGTATACTATAATCTCTGAGGTAGTGTTCTGTAGTTTAAAGTTTTATTTCAGTTCCTAGAGAAGAGAAATCAGATAAGCCAGACAAAGAAAAAAGAGTAGAACCATCCAGCTTTGGTCGTATTCCAAAACTCACGGATAAGAACTCATACAAAGAGTTTACTAAGAGTGATTCACCTAAAACTTATGAAAGAGAGAAAGACAGAAGCACACAAGATAGGGATAGAGAAAGATTGCAGAGAGAGAAAGAGAGGATGCGTCTTGACAAAGAAAGATTCGATAGAGAAAAAGAGAGATACGACAGGGAGAAAGAAAGATACGACAGAGAAAAAGAGAGATTTGACAAAGAGAAAGAGAAATCGCGATTAGAAAAAGAGAAACATGAGAAAGAGAAATATGAACGAGAGAAAGAGAAATCTGAACGAGAGAAAGAGAGACTAGACAGAGAAAGACTCGATAAATTAAAAGCAGAAAGAGACAGAATAGATCGGGAAATGGAGAGACTGAACAGAGATAGGGAAAGATTAGATAAAACGAAAATAAAACTAGAAAATAAGTCGTCAGATAGAATGAGAGAAAAAATCGTAGACAGATCTAAAACGGGCTCGAAGGACCGCGAAGTAAAGAAGAGCATAGATTTAAAGAGTCAAAACACATATAGAATAGATAAGAATTCTAATGAAAAGAAACTAATACCCCAAAAGTCGATCGACCCAAAAATGAACGGTCATAGCAAACCAGTGCCAAAATTAAATAAAGACACCAAGGAGGTTACAAAGAAACCTATAGAGAATTCCAAATTAAATGGTAATATTAAGGATAAACGGTTGTTGGAGTCTAAATTGCAACAAAAGAGAGCAGACGATAAGCGGCCATTACAGAAACCATCAGCGGGCCCGAGTAAACCAGTTATGTCTAATAGTTTTGATTTCGACAAACATGTCAATTCTTTAGGCAAGAATGGTTCAAAGCAATACCCGCCCGGGGATGTGAAAAGAAGAGCGCAAGATGATAGGAGAAACAAGAAACGTGAGTCCGCCATTTTGTTTTAATTATTGTTTTTTGTTGGTATAAAAGGAGATATAGGATTACAATATGTTTAAATTTGAAGTGTTAGGGATACCATTAGGGAACCGTGAGCTTGTAATCTTGTTGTTGTTGTCTTGTACATGTATTGAAATAACAAAAAAAAAAGACTTTTTTTACATTTTAAATAAAACTATCTTTTCGGATTATTTCGCGGATTTATTTTGATTTTTGGTTCCCGACATTTCGAATGCTTTACAAAAATCATGGTCACGGTAGAAACTTAGGTTACAAGTATAAAATGCCTTTGTCTACAGACAAAGGCATTATATACTTGTTACAGACACGTTTAAAACCTATGTCTCTCCCGATGGATGCTGTAAAGCATTCAAAACATCGGGAACCAAAAATCAAAATAAATCCGCAAAGCAATCCATAAAGATTTCCATTAAATCAAACAATCCATTTTTTTTAAATGTCTAAATGTGTAAATCTAAGAAAGTATTTTTTTTTAATTTACACAAATCACATTTATATAAATCAATTCAATTTCCTTCTTAATTGCTTCAAAGATTCCACATAACTTTTTTCGATGATATCTCCCTTATGATTACTGTCTGGGTTTTAAATAAACATTATTTATTTATTATTATCTGTTACTCAAAACAAACATTTTTTTTTTTCATTTTTAACCAAGTTCAAAATGGAGTAGTTATCAATTTGTTTGTAGGTTTTTTTGTAATATGTCATCCAATTATATCTTAATTTATATCCAAAATAAAATTTATATCCAAGTGTACTGGTTGTTATATATTTTTTTTTATCAATTCTTAGGCGATAAAAGGGTAAAGTTCGGTTTTATTGACGTGCACTTTTTTAATAGATAGTCATTATTATGGAGATATTCGTATAGATTAATAAATCTTTAAATTTGAAAATATGAATTTCAGGTCGCCCGTTGGATTCAGATTCGGAATACGACTCGGAAATGGACGACTTTATCGACGACGCCGATGAAAATTTGGATTACTCGAGACATATTAAGGAGATATTTGGATATGATAAGTCTAAGTAAGTCTTGTTTGTTATTTTTACGCTTTTTAAATTTAATTCTGCTTCGTAAATTCAAATGGTTTTTTGAAATCTATTTGGAAATGTGATAAAAAAAATTTTTGTCTTTCCAATAATTATATGTATTATATATGTAATTATTATTGAAAACTCTACAAGAACATTGGACGTAATTTCAAATCAAAATAATATACTTAAATATATTTTTGAAATATCAATTTTTGCATTTAATTGAATGCACATGATTTTTAGTTAAATTAGTTTTATTTAGTTAAAAGCTGATTTTTCAATCATCTGTAAGATTACGGTCTTTAAGAAGGCATTATTTAATATTATTCCGTAACTTTTTATGTTTTTTTTTCGCTGTTGTCGAAATCGTTTATACATTATTATTATTTTTAATTTAAACATCGCTTTATATATATGTATATATTTTTTAATTGTACATATGATATCATTTTTTTATAGATACCGGGACATGGATGACGACGACGATCCCATGATGGAGTCGAGCTTCGCGCGGCAACAGAGGGAGGAGTATATCAGCAAAAAAATAGGTACGAATGTATTCTTAGCCCTCGGGAAATAAAGCGAAAATACAATATATTTTATACTGTATAAAAAAATCCCAGCAAAGATGTTCATCGGAATCATCTTTCTTTGAGTATACAAATATTAGTCCGGGCAAGTTAGTCCAAAAATTAGGGGTAGGTTAACAAAAGTTCGCATAGAGCTATGCGAATATTTGCACTTGTCTATTTTGACCGGACTATATTAAGTTAAAATTTCTTTGTGAAATCGTGCCCGCATTAATACAAGTTATTTGAGATCGTGAAAATTAGAGGTTTTAAATATCTGAGTAATACTATAACTTTGTATCTTCTTGTCACATAAAAAACTTTATTTTCCTGGGCTTAGTCTATGGTAATTTATAAATATGAAAGTTTTTGAGGATGGATGGATGTTTGTTTGTTACTCTTTCACGCCAGAACGGCTGAACAGATCTAGATGAAATTTGACACAGCGATAGCTTGTAGTCTAGAATAGCACATAGGTTATTTTATCCCGAAAAAATTTACGGTTCCCGTGGGATATGTTTCTTTTTGTCTAGTGACGAACCCGAAGCGAAGCGAGGGTAAGTCGCAAGTTATAATAGGTCCAAATAAATTATACATAATTACATTCCTTTATCACTTTACATGATACAGTTTTTTTTTTAGGGAAACAAACAGTACGATATTACATAAATAAATATTTTAATAATTTTACCTATATTGTGAAAGATATCAATGAAAATGGTTTTTTTAAAGATATTTAAATTGAACAAAAAAAATTTTTTTTTAGAGAACTTTTGCATGGGATTGTACTATCTAGTACTATTTTGATCAATGGTTGGATTAAATTTGAATTACAAAATAATATTTTGCGTTTGTATTACAGGTATCATGGAAGATTTGGAAGATATGAGAATGGAAGCTATGCAGAAAAGTAAAAATAAGAAACGGCGACGGCTAAGTGACGACTGACCAACCGACCACACCCACCTCGGACCAAGATTACTTCAATTATTAAATTATTCAATTATTTATGTGTGCTTAAAATTAAAAAATGTATTTTCGATGGTTTATTTCTGATTATAATATGTAAATCATCTACCGTGATCCGTGTTAAGTAAAATCATGAAAAGAGTTAGTAGTAATAGTGAATGCAGCCATAATTTTGTATATCTCGCTAGTTTAAAAATAACGTGTAATTCGTCCTTGCACATTGAAATAGCACAAATAAAATTTAATTGATCACTCATTATGACCTTTACGAATAAAAACTGCCTCTGTCCGGTTGTAATATATAGCAATAGTTGTATTTCTGTTGTAAATCCTCTAATAGACTAATTTTGTACAGACATTTTTTGTGTTAAATATGATTTTTATATACGTCGCAGGGGAAATTGTAAGAACAGTTAAATTGTAATTTCAGTAGTGAAGTTATAATTACCCGGAATATTGTGAATCGTCTCATTTTTTTACAATATCACGGGACATTTTTAGGTATATTATAATTTTTTTCGTCCAGTGAAATTGTCAAAGTCATTGATTGATAATAAAAGGTTTCAGTAATGGAATTATAGTTTAACGGATATATTTTTTTATATTTCCCTGCGACATCATATGTATATGAGCATTTGAATTTACTTACTTAGTTTTTAAGTGAGAAGTTGTGTTGTCGTGACATTGTAAATTGATTCATTATACACGAATATATCTTACAGATAATGTAATATAATCGTGAAATTTTAATATTATATTTTGATCAATATGGTGACAATATCGTTATTTAACTGTATAAACGGGTTTAATGGTTGATTAATTTTATCCTATAAATGTAAAAACACTTATACAAACTTAAACAATGAATTTAAACATTCAGTTCTAGTATGTATTTTGGAGTTACCTTTTTTCATACTATCATGATGACTTAATGAATTATATTGGAAGTTAATCTCTAAATTATTTAAATATATACGATTGAGCTTGTAATATGTCTAGTTATACAAAAATGTGACAACGTGAGATAGCATGACATGAAAAAAGGAAAAAAAATAAAGTGATTTATTAATAGCAAGCATATATATTGTTTTATTGATAATATATGTAAGGATTATTTTTAATAAGGCAGTAGTAGCCCGTGAGTGGAAATCGAGTGATGCGGGTTCAAATCCCGGGTCTCGCACCTCTGATATTTTCATGTGTAAATCATTTCCAACATGATTACCGCTTGTCTTACGGTGAAGGAAATCATCGTGAGGAAACCTGCATGTCTGAGAGAATCTAGCAAGTTTTCGAAAGACATGGGAAATCCGCCAACTCGTACTTTGCCAGCTTAGTGGACTATGGTCTGATGCCCCTCGTATTGAAGGGAGAGACTTGCCCAGCAGTGGGACGTTAAAAAGGGCTGCACATTTATAACTACCTACATTTTAACGATTTTGTTCGTCTTTAATCGGGAAAGAATATGCTTTAGATGAACATAATATCACTACATAGTATAAAACAAAGTCGCTTCCCGATATCTGTCTATCCCTATGTATGCTTAGATCTTTAAAATTACGCAACGGATTTTGATGCAGTTTTTTTAACAGATAAGAGTGATTCAAGAGGAAGGTTTTAGTATATAGACCAGGGTTGAAACCTTTAAAAATGGTAAAAAGTGAAAATAAATGGTAGGATGAAACCCATTGGAAAAGGAAGAGAATATAACAAATATGAAAGGAAAAATTATTTACGGGCGATCTGAGGTCAGGAAGTGGGAGGCGTTGAGTTTTTAAGGGTAAAAAACGGTTTATCTCGATTTCCGGCAAAACTACAAGTCCTATGGAAAAAAGTTAAATGGCAAAGTTGTAAGTAATAAAAAGATCTACAACTTTTGTATTTATCCTTTTTTACATAACCTCAAAATTTATGTGAATATAATATTTACTTTTATCTTTTACAAAAAACAAATTATTTTCACGAAATTTAGTGAAAACTTGCGTTTTTATGTCCCAAATATACTGTATTTTATGTTATTTAAGGTATTTCTTTTTTCACCTTATTAATCAATATATCATAATTTTCAATCGAAAATTCTCGCGTCAAAATATCTGCTTTTTTAAAAAAGTCAGTGGGCTTTTCGTTCGATGAAATCTCTACTTTCTGATGGTGTAAAAAAATATATATTATATATAATATGGTAAATTTTCTCAGAAAATGCAAAAAGTATATGCCAGCCCACTTCTCTATGAAAACCTTTTAATGGGCTAAAATTTTCCGTAGATCACTCAGGTATATAAGTTATCTTAAAATAAATAAATAGGCATATAATTTAAAGAAGATTCTACAACTTTCTCAAGATATTGCAGATATCTTATTAAATATTAGCTTTTTTCATTGCATTTTCTGAAAAAAATAAAAAAAATTGAAATTGAAATGTTTAGCCATTTTTTTATTTAATGTATTTTGAAGATTACATTCCGTTAGTTTCATAAAAATCAAAAGATTATATTCTAGAAATTAAAAATAAAAAACCAAGAAAAAGTAAAAAATCGAGATTTCTGCAAATATTTTGAACAATTTGAGGTTATTGTAAAAAGTGTTACTTAAAAAAGTTGTAGATTTTCACTAGACCTACTACTTATGTACAAAACATTTTTCGATAGAACGTCACAGTAAGCCGGAAATTGAAAAAAAAACAATTTTTCAACTTCGCTTTCTCTTTTTCTAGACAGTGGTCAATTTTATAAGAACTATATTATGAGAGCTCTGTTCATTCTAGATCTATGGGTATTTCCCATATATAGTTGCCACATCTAATTTATCTAATATAATTATTACACTTGATCCCCCAAGTATTGAAAGAAGGTGCATGCCCAGCAGTGGGACGTCAAAAAGGGCTGAATACATACAATTATAAGATACATTATTTTTAACATTTATTGACATTAATAAGTCCATGTTTGCAAGACAATTTAGAAAAAAAAACAAGACAATATATAGCCATCTGCCATGGCCCATGACATTAGACAAATGTCATAGACAAAGAACAACAATAGTAAGTATATAAGTGTATAATCTATGACAATAGTCTCCTCCTTGATCTGTGGACAAGGTCTTGTCGAAAAAATAAAATCACATTCTCTGTGTGTCTGTGTCAAGAACGAGAAGTAACTTTTTTGATTTTTGGGCAATTAGATTTCGATTAGAAAGAAATTTTTGTAAAGTTATAAAATAAGTAAGTCATGAGCTAGATTTCCTTTAAATATTAATGAGTGTTTTTATTTAAATAAAGTTTGTAAGGACACTCAAAAAATGAGGTCTTCCTTTCAATTCTAAAAGTTTATTTCAAATACATATTGAAATATAGTAATGATACATAATTACATCATTAATTTACCGAGGTCTTTTGTTAAAAGTAAACTCCAAGTTTCAGCCATGAAAATAATAACAAGTCTCTGTGAAATGCCCGAACTAAACAAATGTAACGTTTACGTCAAAGATAAAGAAGATTTATTAAATAAAATAAATCAAATAATTGCTGCTGGTCATGAAAAGTTACAAATTGTAACAGACTTCGACCACACGCTAACAAGGCATAATATGGACAATGGAAAAGTAGTTCTCACTAGTTTTGGTAATAATAAAAATATATTGTAATTAACACGAATATAATTATTTATTGTAATGTAGCATAATACTAATGACTTTTATTCAAATAGCTGTTCATTGTTAATGTTAACTTATTTATGTGAGGAAACAAATATAATTTTCAGCTATGTTTAGAGAGTGTCCATCAATACCAAAAGATTACAAAGATGAAGAAATTAGATTGGCAGATATTTATAAACCAATAGAAGTAGACTCTGAAATTAGTATTGAGGAGAAAACCAAACATATGGTAGACTGGTATGTGGCTGCCCATAATTTATTAAAGTAAGTTTATTTTATACCATGTTTTCAAAATAAATACAATGAATAAAGAAATCCAATGTAATTAATATTTTTTAAATTTTAGAGGAATGAAGTTCCCAAGAAATGAACTGGTAGAAGTTAGCAAGAAAATGGTGGAATGCTTCAGGTAGGAAGTCCTTCACATAAACCTTCTTTTTATTATATATATTTAAAATACATCCATAACTAAGTCCTAAGGCTCTTATTAGACCAGATTTGTTATTGTGGTATAATAATGATCTCCTGGTTGAATTTGACCATGGTGGCCAATCTCACAGAGAGTAGCTAAATTCAAAGGTGATATTATAGTGCTGTGCATATAAACAAGTGCAATCTCTATTCCTTTTACTTTCAAAATCAAATGGGAGGATATTTTAGACATGACCAGTGAGAGTTAAGGTGCTAGACCGATGGCTTTAAGTGCTGTCCGAGGCACGGGTGTGAAACACCACCAATGTCCCAACTCCTGGCTGTTACAAAGAATATCTTAACAGAAAAACTCAAACATGGACCGGGACTCGAACCTAGGACCTCCAGATTTGTAGCACTAGCACCTGTTAATGCTATCTGACTAGACCACTGAGGCAGTGTGTTGTAATATTATGTCTACTCATATATTTATTATTTTTTTAACATTGGATTTACTTGTGTTGTTATGTAAAATATAAATATAATTTATTTGCTTAAAATATTTTATATTAAATTTCTAGGATAGGCGTGTCAGATTTAATAAACTGGAGTGAATATAAGCAAGTTCCAATGTTAGTATTTTCTGCTGGACTTGGAGATTGTGTTGTGGCAGCTTTGAAGTCTGCAAACTATCTTTTACCTCATGTAAAGGTAATTTGAAATTTCGATGTTTATATGAAGTTAATGTTTGGTGCTATATCATTAAAAAAACCTGTTAACTTAGGTGTTTTCTGTTCATTCAAAATATTTTATAATTGTTTCTATAGGACAAAAGACTATCACATACAAACAGACATTTATCACTCAATTATATATCATTCTCAGATAGCAACTTAATTTCTTTAAGCATTATTTCAATGTAATTCAATTAACATTGTCAAGACCTTTAATAAAGATATCATTGATAAAATATAGATAGTAAAATTGTATTGGTAGATTCAAACAAAGAACTGTTGTTTTAATACAAATTACCCATTAGTATAGTATATAATATTCTTTATATTCATAATTATAGTCATAATATTCTTTAAAGTTATATTAACAAAACTTTTGTTTTATTCTTTTTTATTTACAACTAGCGACTCACCCTTGCTTCGCTCAAGTTTGTCCCTAGCTATGTTTTGACGCTTGTATGGAATATATATTTATCTTTTATATTTTTTTTGTGTATTTTTCTGATGTTTTAATAGTTATTTTGCTGTTCCGGGTAAAGACATACCCAATGAAACAAAGATCATAAAAATCGGTCCAGCAGTTCTCTAGTTATAAGTATATATATATATATATATATATATATATATATATATATATATATATGTAAAGAAACATTAAGCAATAAATCATTGCATGCCTACTTAGTGCTTTTTTACCAAATATTTGATTTTCTAAGCAAGTGTTTATTTTGTTGAAGGTTGTATCAAACTTTCTCGCGTTCGACGAGAATGACACAATAGTTGGAATCAAAGGCGACGTCATCCATACTTACAATAAGAACGAAGCTGCTATTAAAAACACAGAATATTACGAAATGGTCAAAGAAAGGAACAATGTTCTTTTGATGGGTGATAATATAGGTGATGCTGGAATGGCAGAGGGCATGGACCATTGTGACGTCATTGTCAAAGTTGGCTTCCTTGGCCGTAATACCGATGCTAATTTGCAAAACTATATAGACAAATTTGATATTGTCCTAGTCAATGAACACACTATGGATGTACCGAATGCCATATTGAAATTAGTGCTGTGATTTTTTATAATGAGATTCTTTTTGTAATTGAAGCTATTTTCATTTGTACCGAGTAAGTCATTATTGATATTAAACATTTAATAAAAATGGTATTTGCATGTGAGTTTTTACAAATGATTATAATTAATGAGTTTGAATATTTTAAACTCCATTAATGCTTTATCTTAGATGATTATAACTGTATAATTATTATTAAGTTCCTAGTTGACATAATTTCCATTTCTTCACAATCATTTGTGACTCGCATCATGTAATACTTGTAACACAGTATAATGTTTAAAAGCATAATATATTAATACTTTTTTTTACATATTATTAATATAATATGAACTTAGAGGGTACTAAAAATTTATAAGAAAATGGTTCTTTTTGTATAAAAGAGAATAAAGTTTTATTTTATTTATAGTTAAAGATGATTTATTGTTTTATACATATTTTAAATTAATTAATTGTTAAAAAAAGTAAAAAGTAGTTTTTGTTGTATTTTGTATTTTAAAAACAATAATTAGTGATAAAATACGTAGGCATTAAGCAGTTATTGGGACGTTTCATGTTAACAATAACATGTATAGAGAATTTTTGTAAAAAGAATAGTGGCAATAAACACTCAATTGCTCATGTATTTAGAATTGAATCTCCCATAAACAAAAGAAAACAAGGTTCGAAAGAATGTATTAAATAAATTCTTTATTGCAACTTGTCTACGATTCATAATTTAGCAAAAAAAAAAGACAAATTTATTTATGGAAAAAAAGAGAAATTTAATTGAAAACATGAAGTCGTCATCTTCAAACAATATAATATTTGCTGTACCAAAAATATTTTGGGAATTTTTGATCAGTTTTTAAGGTCATTGTTTATCCAAAATGTACTTATATTTACAAAAGAAACTGAAATTATACCTCAATTATAACTAAACCAAATAAAAAAATTTGTTAAATAAGAATTTACCTACGTTTGTTTAGGTTTTTGGACATAATATGGAGGAAAATAAAATGAATGTTTTAAAGAAATTAAATATTTTATTATTATTATTATAAAACAACATGTATTAATATAAATGTATTTTCTAGTCACCGCTGTGCTTGTTTCTGTTTTATCCAAGAAATACTATTGAAGAAGTAATTTGATGGTAATGGCAAGTCAATTTTTGAAATTCTAACATAAACGTTCAACAACTCTGTCCGTCTATCCCATCAAATTAGTCCTTCAAGGTGCATCCCATGAAAATTTATATCGCGATGTTATAAATTACATTTATTCCTTTCTTGTAAGCAATAACGACATACACATTAATTACATAAGAGATCATTGGTTTTAATATTTCTTTACCATTTACATATAACATACCTATATAATATCAAAAATCCAAAACTTTTAAAAATATTTTGATAGTTATAGGTAACTTAATTATAGCTATAAGGATGCACCTTTTAAAGAAAAAAATGACTCATGATATTAAATTATTTATTTTTAAATTAATCATAATTTTATACAATCGCCACTAAATGCTAATTTTTAAATAAAAATCGTAGGAAGATCTGTTAGAGAAGAACGCTATCGCACATTGTAGATTTTTTATCGATTATTAATTTTTTTCATAATTGGATGTCTTAAAGGTAGAGTATCGATAACATCTCATTTCCTGCCCTGAATAAAGAAAAAATTATGTCATCCTATTTGATCTTTTCTTTACATATTCTGAACGTAGACTGTGTGCTGATAAGATAATATATTTAAGAGAAGAAAACTACAATGAATACTACTTGTAACTAGAGGCCAGACTTAGGTTTAATGGGATTTTCGTTCAGAATGAGACATTTTCAGAAAAATTTAACTTCTTTACATAGTATAAAATGAAGTCGCTTCCGCTGTCTGTTCGCTTAGATCTTTTAAACTACTCAACGGATTTTAATGCAGTTTTTAGTAATAGATAGTGGTTCAAGAGGAAGGTTTATATGTATAACTAGCATTACCCGCGGCTCCGCCCGCGTTCAGATGACCAAAAACCAAATTCTTAGATTTTACATATTAGTATACTCTTACATTGCGGTTTTTATATTTTTTCTCAGAAATGAGATATTTTCCCGCGGTGAAAAGTATTCTATATGTTGACCCGGATAACCAGCTATCACCATACCAAATTTCATCAAAATCCCTCAGTGGTTTTTCTGTGATGCGGTAACAGACAGACAGACATACAGACAAAAATTCTAAAATATATAGATTCGGCCTCTGTATCCATAATAATGTCTTTTTCAATAAGATTTTCCAAAAAATATTTAATTTACAGATTCGTCTTAGTTACAATTTTATTATATGTATAGGTAAATGCATATTACATGGTTCGTCGCTAGTTTTTTACATAGAGTGCATATAATAAGCACTTTTTTATTTTAATGTTAATTGTTATTATATTACTACTCCAATATATTCAAAAATTACAATGCTTCCATTCTGCGCTCTATAAAATGTTATGTTACTGAAAATGTCACGTTATGGACAGAATGTTACACCAGTTAGACCAAAGTTTGGCGTCTCACGAGCAGTATTAATTATAGTTTTTTTTTCTCTCATAAATATATTATCCTATCAGGCACACAGTCTACTTTCACAATATGTAAAGAAAAGATCAAATCAAATGAGATTTTTTTTCGTTATTCGGTGCGGAATGAGACCCTTCATTTACTATATAATAAATATATATCTACAATGTGCGATGATGGCTATAAACTTAACGACAATTGCCCAACTCTATATTCGTTGACTGGAGACTAGGAGAATTTATTAAAAAAAAATAGTGTTTTACAACGTTCCTAAAACAAACGGTAACTAATTTTATTATTTTGAACATTATACATGCTTATTGAATATAATAAAGTTAATACGAAGTCTAAAACAAATTGCTAAAATTTTGTTACAATTTTTTTACGGAACTAAGCATAATGTAAACGCCATTTTAGATTTTTCTTGTGATATTTTTTTAAGTTATTAAATACCAAAATTAAAATGTAAAGTAGATCAACTGACTACATTTTATTGCATCTGGAAGTAAAGACAAACGATTACGATTATAAATCGATAGAAGAAACATTTCGATTGAGAGCATACTAATTAGTAATACTGAATTTTTTCACTTAATTACTAATTAGTAGGTATTTTAAAAATTATTATTTAAATATTTAAAATCGATTTAACATAACTGATAACGATAATAATAATCGTCTGCCAAAACATAACAACGTCCGTTTCCTTATATCAAGTTGAATTTAGTAGGTAAAATTTCAAATTTATGGCAAGATACATACATAATAGTGGAGTCGAACATGACTCGAAAATACATACTTTCAATACACTATTAGTTTAATAAATCAACAAATTAAAACCTCTAAATAAACAACAGTCTTAGAAGGTACAAGGTATTTACACAAATATTTATTTATATAAAAATATCCTACTGTACATTAACAATTATGTAGAAATATACTTCTGTCTGTATGTACAATTAGAAACAGTATTAAAAATAGTCAAATCTTTAGGAATTGCATCACGAAGGCGAGAAATACACCGCCCGTGGCCACAAGGCACTTGATACGAGTACATTCTCCCTATTCTCATATATGTGCTCAGGCTTCGAAGTTTAAGACCGCTACAGACGACCAGATTTTTTACGGCCACGAATTGAATTTAGCTCTAGTTTAGAATTTAGCGCTACACACGGTCGGCATTGCTATCATATACATTATTTATTTGCGCATGAATTATACTATGTATCTAGTATTATTTATAAGTATCTGGCAGATTTGGTTTTATGCAAGCAAAGTTCGTCAGATAGAGAAATAAACATTATTTTGACAGACAAAACTACACAGTACACACGGCAATTTAATTTAAAACGGATGATATTTTATTAATCGATCCAGTGTGTAGCGGTCTTTATATAAAGAGGAGTCGTAAGTAACTGAACACGGAAGTTCCGAAATAAGCCCTCTGGTGTTATTTATCAAATTAAAGAAAAAGTACTTAGCTACTTTCACAGAAAAAGAATTTTGGTAATAGTTTCATTCAAGCTTCTGCTATGGATATTATCTGTAGGCGGAAAATATAATAAATAATAATAGAAAATGTATTATAAAGGCGTTGATTAATGACAAGAAGTGATTTTAAAGCTGTGTATCCCTAAAAAAAAGAAACTACAATATTCCTCTTTATATATTATTCATGTATCAGGCAATATGATATGAGACGGGATGTACTTTAGATTTTAGTATGTATTTTATGATTGCGAATAAGAAAAGATAAAAGTTATTTAAGGCAGAGTTTTTACATACATTTTTCCTAAAACAACAATGGAATGTTTAGTTTTAAATAAGGCGGCGGCGAGTGTATTTCTCACTATCTTAACGTCGAGTAACTTCTGAAACGTTTCATCGCGTCAATATTTACAGATTCAAAATAATACAATTATTATTTAATATACCAAAAAAATTATATGTCGCATAATAATTAGAATAACGTTGTGTACACGTACATCTATTCGTATATTATATGTATATATTTTAAACATTTCCCCGATCCGAAATTCTATTTCCATGAAACATTTGCAGAAGTTACAGGGTTAGGTGAAGGGTAACACGTGCAGTCTCTGAAATGCAAATGCTAAGCTACGAAGGAAGCCATTGTCTAGTTGATACAAAAATACTCTACCCAAGGTCATATCACACACGCTATGAACACGAAATCAACGGTTTCACAAACCGCTGTAAGTATCGCCTGCCTTTAAGAACGTAATTGGCATTTTGGAAATATTTTAATTTATTAATATTACTAGTTACTAATACAATAAAAAGCGATATGCGATCACGCTTGACAAGAACGTTTTTATATTGTCTGATTTGCAATGAATTATAAGTACTTATAAGCTGAACACATTGAATTATACAGCCTTAGATTATGAATCGTTTATAGTTATACCATTTTCATCGTCACCTAAAGGG